CCACAGGGTCTGACAGCTTATCTCCAAGCCTCGCTGCCCCAAGATGGTGTATACAGAGTGTGTGCGCATGTGCGCAATGGAAATATGTTCCTAAAATATGTTTTGATGGTAGCACTGAAAAACAAGTTTGTCCCAAACAAAGGAATGTTGATTTACCAGTTTACATGTGTGTCTAATGTAAATTGACCATAGTGATACCTTGGCATCTAAGGTTGTGTAAATTGACCATGGCAATTCCTTTACATCTGAGGTTACTATCAGTTATAAGGAGGATAAGGTGTCAACACACCAGAAGACCATGCAGTCTGAACCCCAGGGAGGCTAAGTCTACACTTAAAACATTGAAGTGCTGCCTGAGGCAGCACTTCAAAGTGAAAGTATGGCCATGGCACCAGCACTGGGGAAGAGCTCTCCCAGCACTCTATGTAAAGCCACCTAAATGAGATGCATAGCTACCAGCGCTGGAAGCCCGTTTACACTGTATAGCTTTACAAAGCCATAAATTTGCTGCACATGGAAGAATAGGGAGGGGGTTACACCCCTGAATGAGAAAGGACTACACATCCAGGAAGTATCTCGAGAATGTTGGGGATAACTTCTTGGTACAAGTGCTGAAGGATCCGACCAGGAGCCGTGCGCAGCTTGACCTTCTACTCACAAACAGGGAGGAACTAATAGGGGAAGCAGAGGTGAGTGACAATCTGGGAAGCAGTGATCATGAGATGGTAGATTTCAGGATCCTGACCAAAGGAAGAAAGAGTAGTAAAATACACACCTTGGACTTCAGAAAAGTAGATTTTGACTCCCTCAGACACCTGATGGGCAGAATCCCATGGGATGCTAACATGAAGGGGAAAGGAGTCCAGGATAGCTGGCAGTATTTTAAAGAAACCTTATTGAAGGCACAGAAAGAAACCATCCTGACGCGTAGCAAGAGAGGCAAATATGGTAGGAGACCGGATTGGCTTACAGGGGAAATCCTTGGCGAACTTAAGCACAAAAAGGAAGTTTACAAAAAGTGGAAACTTGGACAAATGACAAGGGAGGGGTTTAAATGTATAGCTCGAGAATGCCGGGGGGCTATCAAGAAACCAAAAGCGCATTTGGAATTGCGACTGGCAGAGGATGTGAAGGATAACAAGAAAGGTTTCTACAGGCATGTTAATAAGAAGAAGGTGATCAGAGAGGGTGTGGGGCCCCTACTGGATGAAGGAGGTAACCTAGTGACAGATGATGTGGAGAAAGCTGAAGTACTCAATGCTTTCTTTGCCTCTGTATTCATGGACAAGGTCGGCTCCTAGACTAACACGCTAAATGACACAAGATGGGATGAAGATGGACAGCCCTTGGTGGGTAAAGAACAGGTTAGGAACTATTTAGGAAAGCTAAACATACACAAATCCATGGGTCCGGACTTAATGCATCTGAGGGTACTGAGGGATTTGGCAAATGTCATCGAGGACCCTTTGGCCATTATCTTTGAAAAATCGTGGCGACTAGGAGAGATTCTGGATGATTGGAAAAAGGCAAATGTAGTGCCCATCTTTAAAAAAGGAAAGGACGATCTAGGGAACTATAGGCCGGTCAGTCTTACCTCGGTTCCTGGAAAAATCATGGAAGGGATCCTTAAGGAATCCATTTTGGGGCACTTGGAAGAGAGGAAAGTGATTAGGAATAGTCAGCATGGATTCACAAAGGGTAAGTCGTGCCTGAGCAATCTGATTATCTTCTATGATGAGATAACTGGCTCTGTGGACATGGGTAATTCAGTGGATGTGATATACCTTGACTTTAGCAAGGCTTTTGATACAGTCTTCCACAATATTCTGGCCAGCAAGTTAAGGGAATGTGGATTGGATAAATGGACGGTAATATGAATTGAAAGCTGGCTAGAAGGCCGGGCCCAGCAGGTAGCGATCAATGGCTCGATGTCAGGATGGCAGTCAGTTTCTAGCGGAGTGCCCCAAGGTTCGGTTCTAGGACCGGTTTTGTTCAATATCTTTATTAATGACCTGGATGAGGGGATGGATTGCACCCTCAGCAAGTTTGCAGATGACACTAAGCTAGGGGGAGAGGTAGATACGCTTAAGGGCAGAGATAGGGTCCAGAATGACTTAGACAAATTGGAGGATTGGGCCACAAGAAATCTGATGAGGTTCAACAAGGACAAGTGTAGAGTCCTGCACTTGGGACGGAAGAATCCCAAGCATAGTTACAAGCTGGGGACCAACCGGTTAAGTAGTAGTTCTGCAGAAAAGGACCTGGGGGTTACAGTGAATGAGAAGCTAGATATGAGTCAACAGTGTGCCCTTGTAGCCAAGAAGGCTAATGGCATATTAGGTTGCATTAAGAGGAACACTGCCAGCAGATCCAGAGATGTCATTATTCCCCTTTATTCAGCTCTTGTGAGGCCACATCTGGAGTAGTGTGTCCAGTTCTGGACCCCCCCATTACAAAAAGTATGTGGACGCATTGGAGAGGATCCAGCAGAGGGCAACCAAAATGATTAGGGGGCTGGAGCATACGACCTATGAGGAGAGGCTGAGGGAGTTGGGTCTGTTTAGTCTGCAGAAGCGAAGAGTGAGGGGGGATTTGATAACAGCCTTCAACTTCTGAAGGGAGGTTCAAGGAGGATGGAGAAAGGCTGTTCTCAGTAGTGACAGATGGCAGAACAAGGAGCAATGGTCTCAAGTTGGGGTGGGAGAGGTCCAGGTTGGATATTAGGAAAAACTATTTCACTAGAAGAGTGGTGAAGTACTGGAATAAGTTACCTAGGGAAGTAGTGGAGTCTCCATCCCTAGCGGTGTTTAAGTCTTGGCTTGACAAAGCTCTGGTTGGGTTGATTTAGTTGGGATCGGTCCTGCCTAGAGCAGGGGGCTGGACTTGATGACCTTCTGAGGTCTTTTCCAGCTCCATGGTTCTATGATGATGTTTAAAAGTATCTGTAGGTGAGAAAGTTATCTTGAACATGGACTGTAATCTGTTAAGTTTTAATCACTAGAAAAAGTGTAATTATATTTGTTGTAATTGTAACCATTTTGTTTCTATTATCTCTGCTTTGAATCACAACATTCTTGTTTTATTATAAATTCATCTCAGAGCCATTAAGTGAGGTATGGATTCTCAGCTAAACCAACAGGCTGCTGTATATTCCCTCTCTGGAGGCAGAGGGCATCCAGTGGCTTGAAGCTACACAGAGGCTGGATACCACACAGTGAGCTGCAATGGCTGCCTGGTTCTCTCATGGACTGGTATAATGCCTTCCCATCAGCTATTAAATGGTTAAGAAATGTAAACTACTACACCTGACTTGATCATCTAAGAAGATGCAATTTTTAAGTTAAATATTTTACAGTCCTCAGCCTAAAATATTTATTTTATGTAGGGGACTTAGTTTAGATTTGAGCTTATCCTCTAAACCGTAAGCACCTGACAGTATCTTGGAGAAGCGACGAGGAGTCCTGTGGCACCTTATAGACTAACTGAAGTGTAGGAGCATAAGCTTTCGTGGGCAAAGACCCACTTCATCAGATGCATGTAGTGGAAATTTCCAGAGGCAGGTATAAATATGCAGGCCAGGATCAGGCTGGAGATGACGAGGTGGATCCAATCAAGGAGGATGAGGCCCACTTCTAGCAGCTGATCTGGAGGTGTGAATTCCAAGAGAGCAGAAGCTGCTTTTGTAGTTAGCAAGCCATTCACAGTCTTTGTTTAATCCAGAGTTGATTGTGTCAAACTTAAAGATGAACTGTAGCTCAGCAATTTCTCTTTGAAGTCTGGTCCTGAAGTTTTTTTTGCTGCAGGATGGCTACTTTTAGATCTGCAATTGTGTGTCCAGGAAGATTGAAGTGTTCCCGTACAGGTTTTTGTATGTTGCCATTCCTAATATCAGATTTGTGTCCATTGATTCTTTTATGTAGGGACTGTCCAGTTTGGCCGATATATATAGCAGTGGGGCATTGTTGGCACATGATGGCATATCTTGGAGAGAATCATCTCTCTATATCAGAGGTGGGGAACTTAAGGCCCAGGGGCTGGCTTGCTGGATGTGGCTCCCGGGTGTCAGGGCTGCAATATCGCTGGCACTCCAGTCCCCCACTGTCTCTCCACAGGGCTGGAGCATACAATCTACTAGCCTAGACCACACTAGTCTATGGTGTGCGAGGGGAATGTAGGGAGTGTCTTTCTCCTTCTCAGTTGGGGGCCATGTCAGTGAAGATTTGTTTTTTGGATTTTTGCTTCTCACTTGTGTGCAGCCCTCAACGGATTTTTCTGTGGGTCAGAAGCCGCCTTCCCAGAAAAGATTCCCCACCCCTGCTCTATATGCAAGACTTAACTATCTTTGTAAATGAGGGAAAATGGGCCAATGGACACAATTTTGAATTGTGACACAATGGAATTCTGTCATACTTATTTTCATACTGTTAAGCAAAATTTAGCAAATGAAAAAATGATCAAGTTCAGCTGGGAAATATACTTAATTATAGAACATAAGGGTGCATACTGAATGATAGCAATGTTTTAAATCTAAATCTGAAGTCAGATTTAATAATTTACTATTACAGGGGAAATTATTAATAATGTAAACAAAAAGGTGGATCATATATAATCATCCAAAAGTTTAAACCTTGGTTTTAAAACATTAACTAAGTTCTGAAGTAGATCATGAAAGTACAGTTCAAATGCAGATTTTTCATTAAACATTATGCTCAGTACTCTTTTATTGACCAATAAGGGTCCTTTTCCACAATTCATTCAGTGATCACTTATTTTAAAAAATTAAATCACCCTCTAATATTAAATGGAACATATAGTCAGTCACATTTAAAGATTACCAAAAAACCCCCAACAAATTAGCCTAGTACAACTACCTGCATGAATTCTGAAACTAAACAAGTAACAATTGTAATTTAAATACGCAATTTCAATTATTTTAAATAAAAATGGATTCCTGGAGGTATGAAATAAGAATTTCTTCTATAAAACAGATATGCACTTACAGTTTCACAAGTAAGACATCTGGTTTCATTAGTTAATGTTCCCTGAAAGATCTCGTGAACCCAGGTTGGGTCTGGTGTGCTGTTATTGTTTTCATTGTCAATACTGCCATTAGGTAGACGGCCATTTTGTTTTTCCTGTTTTCTCTCTTCTTGTAAAATATCAGCAATTGTGTTTAAAAGATAGTTTAGGAACTCATGAGCATCCTGCTGCATGTAGTTATCAAAGAGCTCTAAAACATGAAGATAAAATAAAATATTAAGCAATTCAATAATATTTAGGATAAGAAGTCTGAGGAGAAAACTTCAAAATGTGACCCCAGTGCACTCTAATGGCTCAAAAAGCAGAAGGCAAATAAAAACACCAAATTTATTATTTTTACATAATCTCTCAAGTTTAAAGCCACTCATGAATTTTGGCGAACCTGATTAATGATTTTTGAACATTATAGGCAAAAATTTGAAAGTGACCTGAAAGTGTCACTTTCACTCCTGTTTAAAGTCAGTTTCTATTCTATTATTTGTAGGTGCAATATAAATTCATGGGGTTTTAACCTAGTAGGACGTTTCCAAAGTTAAATGATCTATTCAAGCTTGGTGAACTGCAAAAGAGTGATAGAAGTTAATCTAGGTTTTTCTACAAGTATTTAAATTGTATTCAAGAGTTAGAAACAAAGTGAGAATATATATTAAAATTTTTAACTCTAACCAGTAGCCCTTATCTGACATGACACACAATGTGAGAACTTTAGTTTTAGAGATGAGTGGGGCTAACATTTAATTAATTCTCTTTTTTAGTAAAGGAATTAGATACAGTACTCCTATCAGCTAATTTCTAAACTATTATCTACAAAAAAATCCTAGAATTTTCGGGTGCCTAAGTGTTCCCTGAAATCATGATTAATGTTCTCCCTACCACCATCACCCTTTAGCAAAATCTAAAATGGTCTCCTGTGGATAAAAAGATCTTCATCTTTCAAGTTTGAAAATCTAGCATCTTCTGTGAGCAGTAAGTTCACGTAAGGCTAGAAATGAATTGTTATGCTATCCTTGAGTAGTCTGTCTTTACTGTGCAGTCGGTCTTTACTTTCATATTGAAATACGTGAAAAAAAGGTTTAGAAATATGGCTCAGGACAGATTATACAAGTATGAAAATATCTATGATATGAGAATGTTGCCATATTTAACTTGTATTAAAACTTGTAGGGAAGTTTTTATTTAAAGATTACCTGTAATTAGTTTAAATAAAATGTACAGTTTACAAGAATTATTTTATATTTCCTCCAAATCAAGTAGGGGATCTATTGCAATCTTTAATTATATTTTATGATATAGAATTATGTCAGATACCATCCTAATCAACAAGTATTGAATACTAACTAAGAAGTACTAAATACATGAAATGAGTTTTTACAACACTAGAATAGTAACAATTTCAGTAACTGACTTTTAAAGAAGAGTATATTCATCCTAAATTGAAATGGTAGCTCCTAAGTGTTAAATTTAGTTCAGTTCATGTTTATATAAGTTGCAATCTTGCAGTCCAAGTCTTATAATGGAAAGACAGATCTTCAGAGCTCATTTCACACTAATTGTTTTATTTAATTTGTAATATTCTTACAAATAATTTCCAACATTCTGGAACAACAGGAGGTTTCAAATTATTTGATTTTAATATATGACCTAAGACATAGGAACACAAGAATGGCCTTATTGGGTCAGATCAAAGGTCCAATGGGCCAAAGACAACAAACATAACAGGTAATCATCCTATCCTTGTCACCCATTCCCAGATTCTGGCAAAAAGAAACTGTGCTTCTGCCAGGTTTCGAACCTTTACTATAGTAATGTAAATACAGACGTAAGATAAAAAAACATAGCAAATATTGGAGGTTTTTAACATGGTGATTTTTTACAAAAATGTACAAATTCTACATAACAAATATTGGAGGCAGTTTTGTCAAAGCACTGACTGAGCTCAGGTCTCTATTAAAAAGAATATGGGGGGAAATAAAGGGATGAATCCTACCTCAAAACAACTAAACTCTTAGGCTCTAATCCTGTGTCATCTTTTCTGTCTTGTACAGAACCTAGCTTCTTATATATAGTAAATCTATTTTATAAATTAAAAATGTATTTATACAGTATTAATTTCAGTATTTATCACAATTGCATATTAGTAAACACATGATAAAATAAAAATTAAGTACCGTTTTCTTTTCGTAATCTTGTTATAAACTTCTTTGGAGGTATTACTCCAACTTTTTTCTTCTGTGTAGCTATGCTGTGGAAGAGATCGGCTAAACATGTAAGAAGGTTCTCTTTTTTTCTAGGTTGACTCTTGTATGCTAGGACTTTTTCTCGAAATGGACGACAAAAATAAAGTGCTTGAAGAACTGAATTGCAGTAGCATGTGTTCCCAAACTGTAAAATAAGAAAAAACATCATTAGCTTGTATTATATTTCTACTTTGAGGCAAATTTTTAAAAAACCTAAATAAGAACATAAGAACAGCCATACTGGGTCAGACCAAAGGTCCATTTATCCCAGTATCTTGTCTTCAAGCAGTAGCCAATGCCAGATGCTCCAGAGGGAATGAACAGAAACAGATAATCATCAAGTGGTCCCTCTCCTGTCATACATTTCCAGCCCCTGGCAAACAGAGGCTAAGGACACCATTCCTACCCCATCCTGGCTAATAAGTATTGATGGACCTAATCTCCATGGAGTTATCTAGTTCTTTTTTGAACCCTGTGAAAGACCTGGTCTTCACAACATCCTCTGGTAAGGAATTCCACAAGTTGACTGTGTGCTACATGAAGAAAAACTAAATGTAAAAGCAAGGGCAAATTTTCTGGAAGGCATTCCTTGTTAATTCTCAGAGAGCAAAGGCAGCAATATAACTAATGTGGAGCACTGCAGATAATTCTGACTGATACTAGATTGTATTCTCCTGTTTGTAATATTATCGATGTTTTACAATGCTGTGGAACTGTAAAATATGTAATAAGTGCACAGTATTTACTTAGTGTCAAATACACAGCATAAAGAATAAACTGAGACAAAAAATGATATCTGCCACATTAGTCAAAATACCAATCTGTCCAATAAGGAACAGTGTGTAATGTAGTGTTTATAGCAAAAAATTCTTTGATACAAGGGGGTGGGTTTTCAAAAAATGGAATTTTCTAATAATCATTTTGATTTGTTACCAAAGTTATACAATTGGCTCACTTATTGAGAAGCAGGTTATGCACACTCTCTTTGGGGTTGGAATGGCTCAGATTCATGAGTTAACAGAAAAACCAAAGATGTCAAGCTAGTTATGATTGAAAAAGTATGGTGATGATGCTCTCATTCTTAGTGCAGAGTTGTTGCAGAAGGAAGAAAGCAGACTCTTAAATGAATTTCATTTTGAAGGAGACAGACCAGTGGATTGAAGTTGACAGTGTCGGAAAAAAATGTATGCATGGTTCGGAACAAGTCTCCCCATCTGTAAAACAACAACACCGAATACCTACACACATAGATTCTGTGAAATGTAGTTAATATTTGTACAGTATTTTAAAAATATAAAATGCTATTTTCATTATATAAATAGTATAGTTACAAATATAGGCCCTCAAGGGGACCTCAGAAGGTCACTGAGTTCATCCTCCTGAGCTGAAGCAGGACTATGAATACCTAAGACTATCCCTGATAGGTGCTGTCTAACACAGTGTTTCTCAATCAGTTGCCCGAGTACCCTAAGGGGTACTTGAGAGAAGTCTGGGAGGAGGGGGGTACATCAACACAACTGAAATGTGAAGAAAACTGATTTTTTTGTTTTAAGTTTTACAGCACTTTATTATTTTTGTACTTTTTACACCCAAAAATGTCATTGCCCACCCTGCTACGATTAAGTTGTTTAAACTAATGTGTTGCAACGGTAGAAAAAAAATGTTGTGTCTGAAAACTGTAGGTACTGGGGGTACTTTTTTTTTTTTTTTTTTTTCAAAGGGGGTACATGCGAAAGTAGAAAAGGGGGGGGGGAAAAATTTTTTTTTTTTTTTGAGAGAGAGAGAGAGAGAGAGAGAGAGAGAGAGAGGTATTTTATTTAAAAAAAGGTTGAGAAACACTGGTCAAACATGCTCTTAAGAACCTCCAGTGACAGGGATTCCACAAATTGTCTCAGCAACTTATTCCAGTACTTAACTCTCCCAAAACTAAATACGCTATTCCAGCTGAAGTCCTACTACTGCCAAGTACAATAGAACTATTGCCTCCCAATACTCCTGCTAATACACCACAGAATGTTAGCCATTTTTTTTTGCAACTGCACCATACTAATGGCTAGTATTCAATTTGTGATCCAGTATAATCCCTAGACCCTTTTTTTAAATCATTAGTCCTTAGCCAGCTATTCCCCATTTTATATTTGTGCATTTGTATTAGTGCATGTTGGTAGTAGATTTCAAACTACAGGTATTTACTATGATAAAACCACTAACAACAACAATTATCCAGGGACAAATTGAGAGCATATACTTGTGATCCAACCCAGAATTATCTAAAAATTCCTTAGTCATTGCTCTGGGAGTATGGGGGAAATGACTGTCTTTGATAGCTCTCATTTGGGACAGTAGGACCAACAAAACCACCATATATAATGCAGTCAGAAAATTGGACACCAAAGGAAAACATCTGGTTTCCAGATTTTCAGTTGATTTCAAGCACAATTAATAGAATACATATCTATCGCCAAATTATTTAAAAAGTCAAGGCTCTTAAAATTCAGGATACAGGGAATCAGAATGAACACAGCACATTTAAAACAAAAAATAAAGCTAGCCCCTATTCCCTCCCACAAAAAAGTCCCTCCCCTCAGATTACCATCGAGGAAAGGGTGCTTGTAGTAGCTCAATGTATTTAATATCACATGAAAGGTACTGATCACTTTATAATCAAGGATATCTAAGGCAATGAAATTTGTTTAAAAATACTTATTTTATATTTAATTAATCAGTGAATTTCAAATGTGCCTTTTAAAATTTTCTACATAAAATATGGCAACAAAGTTATAGATAAAAGGCTTCACAATTTCCAGACTGAAAAAGCATACATAGTGGTGACACATTAACTGGAAAAGTAAAAGACAGAGAACCAAAATGCAGAATGACCAGGAGAAATTACAGCACTGGGCCAAACTCAAAGAGATGAAAATCCATATAATTCAGTGTAAAATTACACTTACAGAGAGGAAATAAAAGCAGATTGGAAAGACACTCTGAAAAGCTGTCAATCAGTTTTAAGACGCAAAGGGGGATCTTAGCACGTTAAATGTCAATTATTCTTTTTTGTTTTTGTTTTTACAGGTTGGACCTCCCTGATCCAGCACCCTTGCAACCAGACCAGCCCCAAACGAAGAAGTTTGCCAAATCAGGGAAGGTCACTGCCGGCTTCCCTGTCACCAGCCCAGCTAGGCTCCTTCCCTTCGGCATAGGTGGCACCCACACTGAAGCACTAAAGCAGGGAAACTTGGCAGCTGTGCTGCTATACAGTTCCAAATGTATACAATATCAACAATATGAAACTAAAAAAAACGTATCCTAGATATTATGAATAACTTCACTGGACAAAGACTATCAAGATTTCCTCAAGCAGAACATGAAAATTATTTAGTTTCATTCAGAATCCTGTGTTGACCAATACAGCTGGTCCCAAAGTTAGAATGGTCGATTTACAATCGATCATACTTACAACCAAACCTCCCACTAGGCAGCTGTAAAGATGGTCCCCGAGTTACGAACATGATCCGCACTTACGAACAGCACGGTTGCATGTAAATGAATGGGGTCTGACTTAAGAACACTTCGAGTTATGACCACGTGTTTGGTCCGTAACTCGTTTGTAAGTCGGGGACTGGCTGTATCAGCAACTAAACTAAATTGGTCTTAGGCCAGGCCTATGTTTAAAAATGTGATCATCTGAGCTACATTGTTCAGGGCTGTGAGAAGTTCTGAGCTTTGTGCAATGCTGGGGGGAAAGGCAAAGAATATAATTGACGAGATATCTCTTTCCAATTATTCCATCCAGCGTTGAACAACATCTATATTGGCAAGACTGCTTCAAAGCCAATACTTTTCTTTACAACTTGATGAGTCCATCAGCATAGTGGAGGATGCTAACCTCCTTTCATATGTCCAGTGTGCTGGGGGAATACACAACGATTTTTTTTTTGTTGGCAGACAGAGAACAACAAAACAGGAGAAGCTCTCTTTGGCATACTCAGGAATTGTGTTGTATGTAACAATTTGGATTGGACATGGTATGTTGGCATTTGCACAGACTGGGCCACAACAATGACTGGCAAGTTGAAGATCTTAATTGCAGTGTCCAAGAAGTCACACCATTAGCAACATCAACACTCTGTAGCATTCACCAGGAACATCTTGCAGTGAGGAAGATGCCATCAGGCCTGAAAACCATTCTGGATGAGGCTGTATGAATTGTAAATTTTATTAGAGTCCTTTAAACACTTGTATTTTTAAAGTCCTGTGTGAGGAGATGGGGAGTGGACACACTACTTTTTAACACTGAAGTACGTTGGTTGTCAAGGGGGGAAATCCTCACTCACCTCTTCAAACTACAAGAAGAGGTAAAAGTCCACTAGCATGACAGCAGATGTCAAGACTTTGAGGTATCACACCAAATCCAGGACTTCTCATGACTTACTCAATTGGAATCCCTGGCTGATATTTTCAGCATTTTGAATGCACCAAACCTTGTTTTGCAGGGAGCAGCTGTCATCATCTTTAATGTGCAGGACAAAGTAAAAGCTTTACACATGAAGATGGAGCCATGGTGTGCTCACCTTGATTGCAGGGAATTAGACTCTTTTACAACTCTTGCTGATTTTATTCTAATGACTGGAAAAGAAATTGATAGGAAAATTGTGGAAGACTTCAAAGTGGTCTTCATGAGCAATTTGAAAAATATATTTCCCAGAACCAAATGCAGGCTTTGATTGTATACAAAATCCTTTTGGAAACAAGGGTTACATTGAAGAGCTCAGTTAAGTTTGAACCTAAAAAGGTAGATAATTTTGTGGATATTGCATCAGATGGAATGTTGAAACAGATTTTCACACAGTTTGACGGACTTTTGGCTTCATGTATAGCTGAGGAAGGGCAGGCAGAGCTGGGGAGCAAAGCAAAGTCCCAGGCTGAGGCCTTGTTCTCAAGGCCTGAAGGTTCCTAGGGCTGCAGGGAGACACACCGGGTGAAGACGGAAACAGGTCCACACCCCTTGCCAATGATGTATGGTCATTGAAGACTGCAATTTGCCCCAAGTCAGGGGTTAGATGACGAATGGCAGTGGGTCTCTAAGGAAAGGTAGGTATGGGAATTTGGGGTTCCCTAGAAGGGAAGGACTCCAGAGTTGAA